TGGTTAGCTCAGTTGATTAGAGTGTGGTGCTGATAACACCAAGGTCAGGAGTTTGGATCTCCATACCAGCTAGCTGCCAAAAAAAAGAAACTCAGTATTCCTAAAAGGCACGGAGATAAACTGAAAAGGTGTGTGCGTGAGTGGTTGGAGATGGCATGTCTCAGGGAGTCATAGCACACAGAGGCCTCCTGACAATGACGTCATTTCCTCTCACACCTTTGATGTCACATAACATTGGGGGGGTGCCTACTTTCAAGTCTAAAGCCTTCACTGATATAGTGTCAATTATTTGAAAACTTGTAATAATACTGCCTTCTAGAGCATTCCAAAACTTTGAGCCTATGTTCAGAATAAGGCCCAGCACTTTAAATACAGGACTTCCTAAATTTAGCACAGTTAGTTCATGTGCTCAGCTGTTTGCGATGTTTGGGCAGCGGATAAAAGAAAAACAGTTTCATGAAAACGCCCAACTATGCCACTTCCCGGTTTGCAGACTTAGCTATGGACATGAAAACAAACTTAATGGAAACCTGTGCCGAGTCCTGTTGTCCATGTTCCCTGGCTGCAACACATCACATGACAAAGTAGTTCTGCAAAGCAAAAGCAGCAGCCTGGAAAAAATTCAAGCCATCGGATGCATAGAACAATGGGCTGACGGTAAAAGAGATTTAAACTCCAAGATTTTGGGAGTTGGAGTCATGGCTTAGTTAGAAGTTTAAAAACGTATATCCCAGTCTGCCACACTTAGAAACTTACAAGAACAGATTTGCTTCATTCTTGACTGATAGTTTGTGAACTTAAAGAAAAAGCCATTTTTTCCTTTTACCTGTACACCCCAGGAGGTGAAAGGAAAGAAATGGAGTCACTTAAAAAGTAAAGTCCCTTAGAGATCACAACTCAGGAAGTCATCAAGACTGGGGATTTATGGTCCAAATTAAGCAGGTACAGGAGAGATTAAATGACCCATCCCAGGATTCAATCTTATATTATAAAAAGACCTAACGTGAAGTAACAAAGGTGGTACAAAGCCGAGGACACCAGTTAAACCAACTCAGATTCGTGACTCATTTGATCAGCATTACCCATAATGCCCTAAGGACAGGTGAGAACGGAGACATTCCACTGTGCTGATCAGAAATCAAAAACAGAAACAGACATCTCCAAAGTCAGTGTCCTCATTCTTTCGTTCTCATCACTCCAGGTGGGGTTTTTAAGGTGGGTGGCCATGAAAAGAGCTGACTCTAAACAAGTTCCTGTTATATCCTTCCTGGTATCCTGCTGTCACTTCAACGCCTAGTGACTCTTTCCTACCAATGCCCCTACGGAGCTGTGCTGGGACAGGACGAAGGAACAAAGGACGCGGAAGCTGAACTCTGAAGCGAGACTCCAGCGTTACTCACTGAAGTATCTAAGTTGACTAACCATGAATTAGGTGTGAATGATGAAGACTAACTATCAAGACGTCTGGGCACTGTTCTCTTAAGACACTCGACACTCTGATGAGTCCCTGGCACATCACAACATACAGATCTGAATACTCTGGTTTTTGGTATCAGAAAGAATTCAGCATCAGAACAGCCTAGTTTGTGGCCCCACTCACTTGGCCACTAACCACCTGGGTGACATGTCAGGATGTGGCAGCCCTCCTGTGTTGGGATTCCGTGGGAGATACTCACTCTGTGGATAGGCATGGAGGTAGGGATGGGACTGCTACTGCTGTGCAGTTTCTCGGGAACACAGCGCCCCTCAGGTGAGCTGGTAGGAGAGGAAGAGCTCAGGGATGAATGACTAAGGGCAGAGTCCTCCTCAGGGCAAGACTGCACCTCGCTCTCCTCTGAGGTCATGCTCTTGTCCAGAGGTGTTGTCGGAGGAGACTTGGCTCGGGGAGATTTCACAGCCAGGATATCCTGTAAGACCACCACGGGCACTTTGCCTTTGAACAGGATGCCCCCAGCTTCACTCCAGCCATCCTGTTCCTTCCCAGAGCATGATCTCAAACCAACTGCCAGCTCGGGGCAGCTTTGCCGTGAGCACTCCTGTGAGGTGCCGTTCCTCTCTATACCTCCAGAGTCAACATCCTCCTCCTCAGTCTTGCAAGGAAGCTCTGAAAGGGTCTCTCCAGGAAATGCCAACTTGTTCTGAATGGTCTTCAACAGCCCCTGCTGATCTCCACCTTCTTCTCTGGCCCTGCTGACAGCCTCCCTGGAGGGAGAGACTTGGGGACTTAGGTTATCATGGTCCGAGGAACTGTCTGGTTGGTCACTCGAGTCTTCAGTCAAATCAATTATGACTGTGTTCTGGCCAATACTGGTTTCTATTCTACTTCTTAAAAAGTTATCTAAGGGACCCTTCCCATTGACAAGTTTTGCTCCAAAGTCTATGTCAGAAACCACAGAACAGTCATTCTCCAAGTTGTCCAAAGAGTTTTCTAAATTAGGGTGTTTACTTTGCACAGAAGCACTGGGAGAGCTTCTCATGTCGAATGACGCGTCATCGGCTTTCTCCTTTGAGACAAGATTCAGGCGCTTGAATGGAAGACGGGCTGAAACGAAAAGAGAAGGAGGCCATCTTTTTAGTGAAAGTGTAGACTGACAATCAATTAATACTTTAATATTCCACATGCTTAAAAATGATCAACCCTGCTGGGCTTTGGGGGGGGACAGTTTGAAGTTTTTAAAAAAAGGCTATCTTTTATTTTGTACTTTTCCAACATCCTCATTTTAAAAAGACAAAAAGTGACAAGCTTTCAGCAAGGATGTTGCCAGAATTTCCAGAGATTTTTTTTCTGACCAGTTCTACTTCAACTTCCAAATTTATTTAATAATGAGTGAAGATTCCATTTGAAGATAACTGCATTTGGTGGGGTTTTTTTGGTTTTTTTTGTTTTTTTGTTAGCTGGCCACTATGGGGATCTGAACCTTGGCATTATCAGCACCATGCTCTAACCAACTGAGCCCACCAGCCAGCCCTGCATTTGGTTTTGAAGAGCAAAATACATAGGCCCATTTCTGGAAAGATTTCTCTTTCTGACCCCAGCATCCTGGGCTCTATTAGCTTTGCTCAACAATCAAAGAACTATCCGCCCAGTGCCTGCCAGGCTTCCAGCTGGTTATAAGGGACACATAGGAACAACGTAGAAGAGTGAGGAAATTTTTAGATGAGTGAAATTCCCAAGGAGCCCACATGCACTTAAATGCCTAAGCACCTTTTAGTAACTATTTCAAAATGTAACCAACACATAAACCTGATCTTGATCATTCATACTTTCTCACTTTATAAAATACGGATATCTTTGGGTTCCACGGCTTGTCCTTAGGTCTTTACCCACTGGACACTGCTGCCCTTGACACGATTCCCACCAACACCAAACTTCCTATCAGTTGTCACAGGAGAAGGCAAATCACATTAATAACCAAGTATTAAAAACCAGAAACCATAGTTTTTTAATACAATCCATCCACTAATCTGGCCTAAGAGTAAATACACTCCCTGTTTTGCACAAAAGGATTTGGGGACATTTATCTTCCTGTACAACGGCAGTTCTCAACTGGGGCAGTTCTGCACCCACCACCCCCACCCTCAGGGCATCTAGTAATGTCTGGAGATATTTTGGGTTGTCATGACTTGGAGGCAGCGAATACTGGCATTTAGCTGGAAGAGGCCAGCAATGCTGCTCCACTCCCAGCAAAATACAGGACTGTCCCCCAGGCGAAAAAAATTACAGAACAGCAAATGCAAGAAACCTTACCGCAGAGGTGGTGACCTCTGTATTTGCTGCTGGAAACCCATGGGAACATCAGTGGAGCAAAATGGGCTTCCCAGCTTCCTGATCTAGGGAGCAAGTGCTTTTTCACATCTCTCCACCAGCCCAACGCTTTCACTGAGGACCTCAGCAGAAGACAATGAAGGACATAAATTAGAAACAACTATTGAACCCATTCCCAGAGAGTTACCTTGTATTAACTTCTTAACTGGAAAAGCTGGTCTGTCTTTGCAATCCATGGCTGGGAATAAAAGTGTCAGGATGAGTTATTAAATGTTGGAAATAATTAATTCAGAAAATACACATGCAGAGCCAATTATGTACAAGGTGGGTCTCCAGTGGGGGTGATTTTTCCCCCCGCCCCGTGGGGGACATTTGGTCATGTCTAGAGACATTTTTATTGTCACAACAGCAGGAGGGCTCAAGGGGCGGCTACTCACGTCCAGCAGGCAAAGGCCAGCAATACTGCTAAATAGCCTACAGCCCCCCATGACAAAGAATTACTTAACCTAAAATGTTAATAGTTTGAGAAATTCTGCCCTAGGCATTGTAACATCTTATTTTATTTTGTGTGGCACTTACTCTGAAACTTTTGTGTTTGTTATGTCTCCCCATCAAACAGAATGCCAGCACAGAAACTGGCTTCCTACTGCACCTAGCTCAGAGTCTGGAACACACTGGGAAGCAAATGAATATGGTAATAGGGACAACGAAAGTGGAATGAATAAAAAGAGTTGAGAGAAAACACTCTATTACCTGTTTCACCATTAACATGACCCCAAAACAAAATGGTTCATTTTCTTTTTAGAGGGTTTATGAAGACAATGCAATTTAAAGTATTTGGGGCTTGTCAGGCAGGAGCTGAAGTGTTGTCAAGGAATGATTAGGAGAATATTTTCCTGCACCACCACCAACAAAAAAAACTTAGGAAAAGAATTTAATAATATCAAAGCTGATGGAGAAATGACCATAAACAGGTCTTTGGATAAATATCTTTAAATAATTAGAATAAGTTTGGAAGTTCACATCTGCTAGATCTGGCTTGGAAAAATCTAGTTGTTATTTTTGGTAATCTATGTATGTTTTGTAAAAGCTACATAAAAGTGAGTATTTTTAATTAATTAATTTATTTTTTATTATTTTTTAAAATTTATTTTATTTTATTTATTTTTTAATTTTTTTTTCCTTTTTGTCTTTTTTCGTGACCGGCAACGGGATTGCAACCCTCGGTGTCGCGCCCGCACCGCGCTCAACCAGTGAGTGGACCGGTCTCTATATGGGATCCGAACCCTCGGCGGGAGCACCGCCACACTCCCAAGCGCCGCACTCTACCGAGTGCGCCACCAGGCCGGCCCTTTATTATTTTTTTTTTTTAAAGATGACCAGTAAGGGGATCTTAATCCTTGACTTGGTGTTGTCAGCACCACGCTCACCCAGTGAGCAAACCGGCCATCCCTATATGGCATCCGAACCCGTGGCCTTGGTGTTATCAGTCCCGCACTCTCCCGAGTGAGCCACAGGCCAGCCCTTTTATTTTTATTTTTTAAAGATGACTGGTAAGTGGATCTGAACCCATGGCCTTGGTGTTATCAGCACCACTCTCTCCCACGTGAGCCACGGGCCGGCCCTAAAGTGAGTATTTTTTCAAAGCAGATTAGAGCTTTCTAAAACACTCAGCTGTCCACAGATGAAACAGTCCCCTCCTCCCAAGCTTACAGAATAAGTAAAGGTACTCCGAAGGTTCACATTTCCTTTGTACCCATTTCAAGGGACTGAAGACAATAAAATTCTCAAGTTTTCAGTTACCAAAACACATAGATATCCCCCCCTCTCAACTGAAGGACATATAATTTTTAGCCAGTTACATTTATCTTGAGGATAACCACAAGGATTTATTTGCGTGACCCTGAATCACTACCTTTGATGTAAGTGGAACAAAAGTGACCTGAGCCCAGAAACAACTTCAGGTCTACATAAAAAAAGCACCCCATTCAGAGATCCAGACTGTTCAAAGGTACACGTACAATTAACACACACGCATGCATAAAGTTACCAAAGTACTCTTTATTCTGAGATTACAACCTTTCTAGTTTTATTTGGCATTAAAATATCCTTTCCTTTCATGATAGTATGGTCACAGCAAGTGATGCTTTTTTATTTTTTAATTAAACATCCTGAATGGGTTAAATAAATAGATCACAGTTCCATGACAGTCAGTCCCAACTTTATTTATAAATAATGTATTAACTTTACGTCTCTGTGAAATACCAGTCTAGAAGCAACTAGAGTAATGGGGAGTCTGTCCCCTAGAAGACACTTAGCAATGACATTTCTGGTTGTCACGACTTGGGAGGAGGGGTTGCTACTGGCATGGAGTGGGTGGAGGCCAGAGACGCTGCTCAACATCCTACAGTGCACAGGACAGCCCCAAATATCAATAGTGTAGAGGTTGGGAAACCCTGGACTAGACTGGTTGATGTTCACTCTAGCCCTTAATTCATTCAATCAACACATTTACTGTGCACCTAACATTGTGCCAAGTGCTGCGGATACAATGGGGAGTCAAGCAAGGGAGACAGTCTGCTCTTGCTGGTTCACAACCCCATGCTTTGGAAGGCTTGCTGAGTGTTAGACCACTTCCAAGACAGAGGTGGGAGAAAGACACCCTACGTATGAGGCAGGATCAAGAACTCGGGAGTCCCAGCTCCCTGACAATCCTCACCATGCAGGCCTCTTACCTGGGTTTGCCCTGAGCCGCAGAGGCAGCTGCTCTGGTACCCGAGTCCGTATGACCTCGGGCCTCAGTTTCCCCACCCGCCGCAAAGTCCAACTTGGTCAGGAGACACAAACGCACTCGGTAATCTGCACGAGTCGACTCTTTCGCCTCCCCGGGCCTCAGTTTCCCTCTTGGCCCCACCGACTCCTAACCCCAGAGCGCCCTGGAAGGACGAACTGACGCAAAAGTGCCGGAAAAAAATACGGCCACTGTTGCAACAATAACGTCAAAGAAGGCGCCCTCCAGGTGGTAGGGCCCTTGCTCGGGATTATAAAACCCCAGGGACCGAACGCCCGGCCTGGAGGAGGAGGCCCGGGACCGGGAGGCCTGTCCGCCCCCGACCACCGCCTCGGCCCGCACAGGCCGCGCGCCGCGTCGCCCCTTCCCCTCGGCGCTGGCCCGAACTGACCTGCGGCCGCTCCCCTGGCGCCCGGCGCCCCGCACTCCGGCTCCTCCAGCATCTCCCCGGCGGCGGTTAGAGCTCCCCTCAGGCGGCGGAGGCGCGGGCTCCGCTCAGGGGGCCGCTGCTGCTCGCCCTCCCGCCCGCGCCGCTGCTGCCGCGGCCGCCGCGCTCGTATTTGGCGGGAACCGCGGCGACCCCCGCAGCCCGCGCACCGATTGGGCGAGACCGCGTCACGTGACAGCCCGCCTCGGGAAGAGAGGAGCGCCGGGGGTATCCTCGCGAGAATGGTGGCTTCCATTCCTCTCAGGGTTCCCCATAGAGATTCCCGCGGTGGGGCGGGGCTTCTCCTCGGAGGCCTGTCATTGGCTGGGAGGAGATGTCCTGCGATTGGAGGAAGAAAGCGTCAAGCTGAGAGTTAGGCAGTGCGATTGGCTGAGCGCGTGGGATATGTCGGGAGAAGGAGGGAGGGCCAGGCTCTTACGTCATGAGAACGTTTTCGTAGGACGTCAGTGACAACCTGAAACTGCGATTTAGATGATGACTCTGAGGTTCTGAATTTATCCTAATTGGACATCGGCTCGTAGCAACAGCAACTAAAATTATAAATTACTTTTTTTTTTAAACGATGACCTCTTAGGGGATCCGAACCCGTGGCCTAGGTGTTGTCAGCACCACGTTCTCCCAAGGGAGCTACGGGCCGGCCCTGAATTACTTTTTATGTGAACAATAAAGTAAAATCTGGGAAACGCTTCAGAAGCATTTGACGTGCAGTACAGTAAATACTCGTACGTTCAGAGTGAATGAGTAACATGAATCGTTTCTGGTTTAATCCTCAGGAAATTTGCACATGCTGTTTTCTCTGCCCAGAACAATCTTCCCGCAGCTCTTTTTCTGGCTAATTTCAACCTAATTTTCAGATCTTGGATCGACACCTCAAGAAGCCTTTCCTCCCTCAACCCCACAAGCTCAAATGCCTACAATATCGTTCTTTTCCTTAAGGCAATTTCAGCTGCGTCTATTTGACTAATCAATTATTCTCTGTTTTCTACATTAGCTGAATGAGGGCAGGAATATTCGTCACTATCCCCAGGACCTGTCAGTTAACTGATAACATAGTAGGTGCTCAATAAATATTTTGAGTGCATGCATAAATATCGTTTGATAGAACTGTGTAGATCATGCAGGTTAAAGCTTCGAACAAAACCGAGACTTTCGATGTCACCCTGTGAGTCCAGAAATAAATTTTCTTCAGCACCAATTTAATCCCTTAGAACTGGGGATGTTGGTTAGAGAGCAGTCTTATTACACTAAGGTCAAGGGTTCAGATCCCCATACCGGCCAGCTGCCAGAAAAAGAAAGAAAAAAAAGTATAGGTGCTGAAAGAAGACTGAAACTTAGCCCAAGTTTGTAATTCTATTGAGGTAGATTGGATGATTAAATTGGGGAAAGTGTAGCAAAATAGGAAACTTGGGGACATCGTTTTGGACAAGTACATGTCATTACTCAAGGCCTCAGTTTCCCTGTCTGAGCCATGAGGATTTTTCTGTCCCTTCTCTGAAATTCTGGCATTCTGCAATGGTTTAGACCACTGGATCATAGTTGAAGTTGAATATCAGAATCACATGGGTAGCTTTTCCAAACTATTCATAATAGCCCCATCAGGATCTCGGGTAGTGAGTTTGAGAATGTGTATTCTGAAGCAGCCCTCTGATTGATCTAGTTTGCTACCTTCTGCTGAGGCTTTTGGAAACATCCAGCAATCTTCTGCTTCAGAAAATCACCGAAGGGCCGGCCCGTGGCTCACTCAGGAGAGTGTGGTGCTGATAACACCAAGGCCATGGGTTTGGATCACTATATAGGGATGGCCGGTTAGCTCACTTGGGAGAGCGTGGTGCTAACAACACCAAGTCAAGGGTCAAGATCCCCTTACTGCTCATCTTTAAAAAAAAAAAGAAAGAAAGAAAGAAAATCACCTAAATATTTCAGCAATGTCAACATTGAAGTTCCGGGTACTTAAGCTGTAGTCGTTTTCTTGTTCCTCTTTTTGGATTCATTTAGTCATTGCGATTCATTATTAACTTCCAACTCGTTTAATACATTTTAATCAATTACAGTTGATATAAACATCAATATCAAAAAACATGTACCAGGGCCGGCCCGGTGGCCCACTGGATAGTGCGCCGCTTGGGAAGCGCGGCGGCGCTCCGGCCCGAGGGTTCGGATCCCACATACGGACCGGTTCCCGCTCACTGGCTGAGGGTTGCGATCCCGTTGCCGGTCCCCGGTCCGGTACGGGGGCAACACTGAGGGTTGCAATCCGTTGCCGGACACGGAAAAAGACAAAAACAAAAAAAAAAAAAAAAAACATGTACCAATCCAGGAAGGCTTCCCGAAGGAGGTGACTGACATTCCTAGCAGAATCCTTTTTGTGCACAAAGGGTGAGGGAAAGATTGGGGAAGAATGTGCAAGAGAGAGACGTTAGCCAAGTCCCACAGGCAACAAGGATCATGAAATACAGGAAAAGAAGAAAGCAGAAGAAAACAGTGGTCAGAGGAATTGACGGGGCCAAATTATGCAGGCTTTGTAGGCCATGTTAGGAAGTTTGGAGTGTATCCTACGGGCTGGACTAATGTGATCTGAATTGTATTCTAGAGGCACCTTTCTGTCTGCCTGGTGGGGGATGAATTGGAGGGGAGAACCTGAAGGTGGGGACACCAGAGAGGAGGCTGGTAGAATGGTACGGTCAGGGCGTGCAGACAGTGGAGATAGTGCAGAGGAGGTGGAAGTAACATCCTCATAGATGTCTGACTTGGGCAACTAAATGGTTTTTTAATTATTATTATTCGAAGGGCAACTAAAGAGATGAACACGGGACAGGGTGCTGCGGGGAGCAGGGACTGAACACACAGAGGAATGGGATATCCGGAGAATGGCTCTAGACGTGAATTTCCCTCACCTCTTCGCCTTTCCCAATGTCTCCAGGCAGGTTTAAGCGCCTTTCCTAAGACTTTAAGGACACCGCTGGGACTTGAGGGGTCGCTGCAGCCGCCACGGCCCCTCTAGGCTCAGCCTGCTGCACTCGCTGGCGGAAGCGGCCTCCCTTCTCCTAGCTGCAGGGGAAGTGCGCGTGCGCTCTCCGGCCGGCAGGGGGCGCGCGTGCGCAGACGAGGCCGGGGGGGGGGGGCGGGGGGGCGGGAC